GTTGTAACTAGCTTTTATTTCTACCGTTCTTATATCAATAGTTTCTTTTATTTTCATTTTATGTATGGTGACTCATCAAACAAGCATTAAAAAATGAGAGAAATGAACTCTATAAAGAGAATAACAAGACAAAAGAAAATTTCATGATACATTCACATTCAACTGTTTGCACTTTTTAAAATTTCTTTTCTTTTAATAAAGAAATATTCAAATTTGCACAATGTAATAATCACACTAGTGCTTTTATTTTTAGAAAAAAAAAATGCAAAAAATTAAAAGAAAAAATATATATATATATTTTTTTTTAATTAATTATTGGAATGGGTCGTTTGTGAAAATTTTTCCATGCTTCTTTTAAATTTGCTTGTGTATCTTCATATTGTTGTTGTTTTGTATAAATATACATGGGAGGTAAACTAATTCTTGCAGAATAAAGAGAACTATTCTAAAAATAAATTTATTTTATTTTATTTTTTCATTATATCAAATTAAAAAAAAAACTTACAGGAGTATACATAGATATTGGCTCGTCTAATTTATTTCCTTGATTTACAAGAAGTTGTTCAACAGGAAGAGTTGATTCACCACCATCACCGGATGTACTATTTTGAACAAAAAGAAAAAACTATGATCTATTTTACTAACCAAATATATAAGGGAAGGGAAAGAATAGAAGGTATATATGAAGTTTGCCAGATGCAAGTATGTGTATAAATAAAAGCTATTCGACTATATATATATATATATTCACGTATGTGTGATATGAAACTTACAGTTTGACTTCTTAATAATAATTTCGATGTAGGTTGCCTATTTATATTTATTAAGAACAATAAAACTAGTTGCTAAATTTTTCTATATTTATATGTAAAGAGTTTATAGAATAATCTGAATCATACCTTGGTGAAACAATATTAACATTTGATTGAGGTTCAAGTTTTTCATGTGATGATGTTCGTATTACATTATTTGTTGTTGTACATGCAAAGTTCTATGATTAATATATAAAGGAATGAAAAATTAATTTGTTTTTGTAAATGAAAATAATCTTTTAAAATAAGAAAAAATAGTCATCGGAAAATTTCAATATTCAGATAAACTTAATCGTTTCAAAAAATTCTTTTTCTCTGTTGAAATAATTATATATAAGAATATTTTTAATGGATTAAGTTATAAGAATTGATCTATATTTTATATTCAGATCAATTTTGATTATAAATCTTTAGATTTATTTCTACTAGGAAAATGATTAACATACAAATCGTGTTAATGGTCTTATTTGTGTTTTTGCATCATCTCCTATATTTGCATGCCATTTTTTAAGACGATCTTCAATTTTTTCAACATGAACTTGATCATTTGTTAAATATTGTATTGTAGCTGCATGTCCTAATCGTCTATGTCGAGATGAACGTGTGTCTGATCGAGAATTAGCTGTAGTTCCCAGTGAACGATCTTTACCATTTGCATGTAGAGTTGTACCTGATCGACGTATACGCTATAGAATTTATTCATTGATAAAAAAAATCAAAATTAAATCAAAAAAGAAACCAAACCGAACGAGATAAATTATTTGAGTGTAAAAGCCATGATTGTTTATTATGATATTGTGCTTGTTCATCAATTATTGGTGGCGCTAATTGTCTTTTCATTAAAGCAGTAAGTAATGGTAAATGCATAATACGTGATGGATATGCTTGTAATGAAAGAACTACCATTTCACGTAAACGTTCACTTAAACCTTGTGCACCATGACGTTTTTGTAAACGAACAAAATTATGTTTTAATATATAAAACAAATCACATGGACCTGTACATCGAGCTGAATTAATATGTGTTGCTAAATCACATACATAAGATGCAAGACCAATAGTATCACCTGTAGTTAATAAGGCTAAGTGTAATATTCGTTGAGCACGTTCTTTTTCAGCTTGAGCAAATGTCATATGACGTCGTTTTATAGCAAAACTTTCTCTATGACTATCGATATTTACCGTCGATGGAATATGAACATTGGATGATTCAGATGGTTGAAACATTGGTAAAAATAATTCAAGAGCACGTCTATTATGTAATAAAATTTAATTTAATTTTAAAAAAATCAAATAAAAATAGATTTACTGTTTCATTGGATCTGATTGTGGAAGAAGACTTGGATATTGTAACCAATGTAATAATGGATCCATACTTATTTTAACTTCACCGCTAAATTAATGAAGATTATATTTTTCTTTTAGATAAAAGATCAATGCTTGGTTCCTTTTTTTTTTTGAATTTTACCTCCAAATAAAATAAACAGCATCAGCACGTGTACCTTGTTTATAAAGTACACTATCGTAAGAAAATCTACCTCGTTCTAAACTAAGACTAACAAGACGTTTAAGTCTTGGTGACCATGAAGAAAATAATGGACATCGATTGATAAATTCAGTTTTTTCTTGTAATTCTTTTTCATGTGCCGCTTTAAGTGTTCTGTTTTTTAAAAAAAAAGAAAGAAAACAGAATTCAATTATATTAAAACCAATTAAATGCAAATTGTTACATACCGACTAAAAACTACTCGATCAACAACTAATAAATCTGTTGGAATAATTGTCATAACTGTTGCACTTCTTGGTTCATTTGTTACAAGTGCACGTTCACCAAAATCAAAACCACCAACTAAAATCAATATAAATATCGTTTGTTTGAAATAATAAATAAATAAAAAAAAAACTATTTTTTTTTATCAAATTTCTGATCATAATTACAGGAAAATGGCAATCATTTTTGTTTTGTTTTTTTTAAGCAAATGATATTTTTCTTACGCTCTTTATAAGCAAGACCATTTCCTTCTGAATTGATTTTTATTATGTTTAGAAGAAAAATATATAATTCTCAATATAGGGTTTTATTTTTCTTACCTAAAGTAACAATATAATTACCAAATTCTTGTGCTATAAGTTCTTCACGTTTATCAGGATCATGATCAAGTTTTGAAAATTCTTTTACAGTATCAAAGTCATGTGGAGCTGATTTTGGGCCATCTTCATCACAACGATAAATGTTTACTGAACCTTGTAAAATAATGTAGAATCTATTAAAATAATCCAATGAAATATATTTCACATGAAGAAAATTTTTCAAACACTTACGTATCTCCTGGATCTCCTTGACGAATAACAACATCCCATGCTGGACGTCGTTCCAATATAATTGTTTTACATATATCATGAATAACATCTTCAAGAAGAGTTTATTATTTTTTTAAACAAAAAAATAAAAATAAAAATGAAAGTTGAATTTTACCATCAGAAATTTTTTGAAATATTCCTTGTTTTTTCTTTAATGATTGTTTAAGCCATGGAAATATAAAATCAGTTATTTCAGTTGTTGTTCGTTGATCAGGTGGTTTACTAGCAGCTCGTATTAAAGTTTCATAATTCAGTGCCATTATAATATTTAACAATAAAATGCCATCATCAGTAAAACGTAATTTTCTTTTTTTTTTTTAGTAAAGCCTTGTCAGTTTAAAGAGAAAGCGAAAAAAAATGTGTTTGTCTGTTTTCTTGTAATAGCGTAGGTTATGAATACTTATCAACGCCTGTTCCTCGTTTTTCTTTTTAAACTGACAGCTTGTCTTTTAATAGTATCGTTATTTCTCTCGCTGTTTGCAACTATTCCCTTGCATCTCAACAATTTTCAGAGAGCAGCGCAACGACAAGAATAAAAGTTTTATATACAACAAGAAAAAGAGAGAGTGAGACGTATGCTCTCTGTCTCTTGCGCCCGGCGTTCGACACAAGGGCATTATAGTGTTCGGAAGTATAAGGATCAAACAAACACAATTGTCACTCCATGCAACTTGAGTGTCCACGTACGATTAAATATAGTCAGAGGAGAAAGGGACAAGAAGACCCAAGTTCAATGAATATAACAAAAAGTAGTATGAATGAAATTTAGAAGAATAAGATAAATAGACTATAGATCGATGTTGATTGTGTGTTTTGCTTTCATGCTGCGCAATAACAATAGACAACATATGCGTGAATGTCTGTTTTTAATTAGCTTTTTAGAAAAAAAGAAAAAAGAAATGTGACTATTATTTTTCATTTAATATAAAAAGAAACATTTTCACGTAAGCTTTACTGCTGATATAAAATGTGTTACTAATACTTTTTACAATGTTAATAAATTTTTATATGTTAGCAAACATAAATTATTTAAAAACAAATGATATAAATTGCCTAACATATTTTTTATTAAGTTAGGTACATGTCGCTGTTGCATCTGAAATTGATATAATGTCTAGGAGTATACAACTCATTCATGTTGTATCCAAGTGTTCTTATCGATCAACTTTTTTTTTCTATTCGATGATAACAATTGAGTTTTATCATTTATTTGTTCTTGCCATTGAAAAGGATTCTACGTGTCGTCATAAATTACTTTTTTTTTTGTACTTTAGAAAAAATAAAATCAAAATTTTGTGTTCGACTTTCATCTATTACGAATAAATGATAAAAATGTACTTTACGAAACAAAGTAGTCAATAACACTATTTCTTCATATTTTTTATTACGAATGAAAGAAATAGGTGAATTTGCTCTATGACTATTTTTCTCTTATAGATGCACTTTAAAGATTTATATCGATAAAATGAGTTTATTTATGAAAGTAACTCATTATTGAGTCAATGGAGATTGAGTTGTTCACAAAAAAAAAAAAGTATCGACAGAAAATTTTTTTATTTAAATATTTATTCATAGTTGAGTTAAAGAGATTGAATTACTACAAATATATGATAAGAAATAAATATTTGAAAACCTTTGTTTGCAATAGTATGATATTTTTCTGAATATATCCTTGAGAATATTGTCAAGGTAAACTTTCTTTTTTTTTTCAAGAAATATTGTATTCTTCAAGGCTATGCATTATTGAAAAACAAATACTATAAGATGCTTTTTTTCCCCCACAGAGATTGTATTGTTATATTAATTTTCTTGTTAAATCAATTCGACCAAGGAAATGAAAATTAGTTGAGATTTTTTTGTAAATTCCTATGATGAAGAATTATTAAATAAATCAGAAAGAAATCTAATTCTACTCAATAGAATTTGTTTATTAGAATTTGAAGTTTTTCTCGTCTACATTTGTTTAATATGAATATAATGAGAATAAAAGTGGCAAAATTAATGTGATACAATTGAACCAATTTAATCAATATGGCTTTTTTTTATTCTTCGAGGCAAATTTTTCGATAATTGACAATTTTCACTAAGAAACTAAATAATGAACTGGATAGAATAAGTGATTGGTGTTATTCGAACATTGGGCATTTTTGTGAATAAACAAAAGGAGAAAATACTTCATGAATAATTTATTCTTCAATAGAACAAGAAAAAAAATGAGAAATTAGGCGTAATTTATTACCTAGGAAACATTCTAAGCTATTGACTTCATTATATAACTACTGATTAAGTTTCTATGAATCTAATAGAGTGTGAAAAAGTTCAAGTTGATGATTCTCCTTTATCGTTATATCCCATTATTACCATTAGTGTTAATCTTGATACACAATATACTTCACTCATTTTCTTCTTTGTCATGTAACGGATGGTCCATAAAGAAGGATTCTGTCTGTATTTTTGTGATTGTCTCTCTCAATTTATGAAGTTTTGACTTGAAGAATTTTTTTTCGAAAAAATAATCCGTGAAATTCTCTAGAAAATTCAATGAGAACGATTTTGCACAAAGATAACTAGAAAACAATATCCAGTCAGCAGTACTATACTTCAAAAATACCCGTTCACTTTCAAGCTACTATTTTTAATTATATAGTTTTGCGTTATTTTTTGATCGCATACAAAAAAGAAAACTTACATATGTGCCTTATTTAGTGATCTATATAAAGCTCTATCACTTTGAGAGAATACTGGTTTATTTTTCGGCATAATGTAAATCTATTCATACAAAAAATTGTAATTGTTCTCTCTTAATCATACTTTAAGAATATCTTCCATAGAGATTTATGAAAATTTTGATTTAATTAAACCAAGTGTACTATTAATACAAATTCAAAATTATTACCAAATTTGAGGAAAGTACAATCTTCACAAAAAGTTGTGTGACAATCGACGACAGTTCTTCAATACTTTATATTGAAGTTGACTCTGGATGTAATCATATGCTTGGCATTATTGTTGTGTAAGCTTTCATATTTAATTGAACAAACGAATCATTGTCATTTGACACCAACAAAATAATATTAAACATAAAATATCCAGTGGCAAATTTTTTTTGAGATATTTTTCGTTCTATTCAACTGTTAAGATTTCTTCAATTGCAGATCTGTCACGAGATCTTTTTGTCAAAAGATGCTAGTGATCAAAAGGAATCTGTTGAAAAAATATTGTCAAATAGGAGAAAATTTATCTTTTTTTGCTTATCTTACAGAGAAGAATAAATTCAACAAAACAATACATTTTTTGATTCTCTAACATATCAAATAAAAACACTGGACGATAGCAAAAATGAAAAATCTATCTTATTGACTTTTTTCACGTAAAAATAGCTAAAATATTTCGAAATTTTAGATTTCTATTTTGTTCCAGTGTGTAGTACATTGTTTGATATATTAGCGAGTCCGAGAATGTATTGTTTTGTTGAATTTATTCTTCTCTGCAAGACAAGCAAAAAAAAGACATATTTTTTCCTCTTTTACAGTAGTTTTTTAACATCTTCCTTTCAATCACTAGTATTTTTCGACGAAAAATGTCCCAAGACTTTTTGTAACTAGATATTTTATGTTTAATACTATGTTGCTGATATCAAATGGCAATGATTCGTTTGTTCAATAAAATATGAAAGTTTACTCAACAATAATGCTGAGCATATGATTACAACCAGAGTCAACTTCGATATAAAGTATTGGAAAATTGTCGTCGAGTATCATAGAACTTTTTGCTAGGATTGTATTATTTTATGATTTAGACCCGACCGAAATGTTGTAAAACCTGTTTTCTGCAATAAATAGTTCAACTAAGAAGAATCATCAATGGTTCCAACCAGTTTTTAAAGAAGACTCATCATTAATATTTCACAAATTTCTCTGCATATCTTTCTTGAATTGTTTTCGAAAGTGTATGTCTGAAAACAAAGGATATTTGTAATAAAATAGTCTGAAACCTGTTGAATCATAGGAAAAGAAATAGTTAATTTTGCGCAAAAAAAATGGTGTTTGAAAGTGGACTTTTTTTGAATTATAGCACTACTGATCGAATATGGTTTTCCAATTATTCTTTTGCACATTCATTTTTATTGGATTTTTTAAAGAATTTTGTGAACTATCTTTTTGAAAAACGTTCAAGTCAAAGCTCGAAAATTGATAGAGATATTTTCAGAATGCAGAGAGAGAGAGTCATTCATTATGCACCATCCTTTACTAGAGCTTTATCGAATGGGAATAATCATATTTCTTTTCAGCTATGAAGAATGTTAAAACTTGTTTCAGAAATGCCAAATTCCTGGAGTTTTCCAATTTCTTATCTCTCATACAGCCATATTGATTGCCCAAAAATGAAGTCAAACAATGTTAAACCATTGAAAATGCACCCTTCATATATCAAATCTGATTGTCGAAAAGACAAAATGATCATTAAGGCTCCCCTCAAAAAAGTCACGTTTCGTCAGAATCGTTGAAATTGAGATAAATACATGGGGAGATAGCCTGTCATTTGCTCTTTCATAAAAGATAAAAACTTTTCTTCAGCATCTCCTTTTTTCCGAATAATTTTCAAGATTTCTGGCAAGCCCTATTCGAAAAACCAGTGGTTTTTGAAAAAACACAAAAATCTTTTTCGTTTTTTCTCAAAATGATGGTCGAACGACGCATCTCCAGCGAAAGTTAACTATAATCCGATATAAAATCAAATATTTTTTTTTTTTGTTTGAAAGGGCATCAAAAACTACAGTGCCTAGAGAGACCTTTTTTTGATAAAGCTTTGTTTATTATTATATTGATAAGCAATTTTATAATATGAGCGCCATGTTTTTGAGAGGTTTTTCAGTGATTGAACTTGTCAGGCCTTTTTTCCTTCAGAAAGATAAGAGTAAAGAAAAAAAGGGCCCTCATCGGTACTGTATCCTGACACGCTCTTTCAAACAAAAAAACAATCAAGCATACAGAATGAACACTCACAGAGAAATTTTGGAGACGCGATAAGCTATTTTTCGACCTTTGTTTGGTTCGTATCCTCCTTATGCATCAGGATAGGAGGCTGAAAATTATACCACAGACGTTCTTGTACAGCTCCAACATATCCCCAAAGTTTCATGGCATTTGGATGTTCCTGGGCTAAGATCGATTTTTGAGCGGATGACTTTAACCAATCTATTCGTAAGTCTATTATGCAAATTTCATTTTTTGGTTAATCAATTTATCAAGAATATATGATATTATTCATTGATAATACAAATCATTTCAAGATGTTTCATTTCAATTCATTGTCAAAATTTCTTTTATCTTAATTATCAATAAATTGTTCAAATAAACACCGTTCGTTTTGTTTATTATAAGTGCATGAGTTCGAGAAACTTTTATGAAAGAAAAAGATGCAGCTTATGTATGACAAAAAGAGAGAATGAGAGAGCGAGATAGAGAAAAATAATAGTAATAAACTAAAATTACACAAACAAATATAACTAGAATAAAACCGTGTTGTCTTTCGATGTCACACTAATGATATTAGGTAAAATTAATTGCTTTACCAAAACTCGCTTGAAGACTAGCTTCTTTCAATGACTCGGACCATGTCTAAAATATAAATTATCTATCAAACAAAATAATAAACAAACGAATAAAAACTTACTGGATGGGCATGACAAACACGTGCTACATCTTCACATGAGGCTCCATATTCCATAGCTAATGTTGCTTCATTGATCAATTCACCAGCGACCTAGATAAAGAAAAATGTCTTAACAAACTAAAAATTAAAAAATTCAATAAACATACTGAATTGATCATATGTACTCCGAGTATTCGGTCAGTTTTTGCATCCGATAATACTTTAACAAAACCTTCAGCTTCATTTATTGTTTTAGCACGACTATTAGCACTCATAGGAAATCTACCAATTTTATATTTAATTCCTTCTTTTTTTAATTGTTCTTCAGCTTTTCCGACCCATGATACTTCAGGATATGTATATATAACACTTGGTACACAATTATAATCTATATGTGGTTCATGACCTGTTGCAATACTTTCTACACAAATAATTCCTTCATCTTCAGCTTTATGTGCTAACATAGGTCCTTGAATACAATCACCTATAGCATATACACCTTTGCATGATGTCTGAAAATTTTTATCAACTTCAATTCGACCACGTTGATCCACTTTAATACCTAAATTAAAAATAAAAACATAATAAAAAAATGAAAATCTCATTTAATTAAATTTTCTTACCAATACTTTCAAGTCCAAGATCTTTTGTATAAGGTCGTCGACCAATACATACAAGTAAAGTGTCACAATCAAGCTATTTTTATTTAAAATAAATATTCATCAAAAAGGATAGAAAAAAAAGAATATATATGATATATATATATATACCGTTTCATTATTACCACCTTTAGCACCTTCAACATTAACACGAATATTTCCATTAGCTTTTTCTGCTCCAGTTACTTTTGTATCAAGTTTAAATTTGAGACCTTGTTTTGTAAGAATTTTTTGAAAAGCTTTACTTATTTCCATATCAATACCAATACCACCGACATGAGATAAAAATTCTACACATGTTACGTCTGTACCTAAACGACTCCATACAGAACCCTATTACACATACATATATATATATATATATATAAATTCAATTTAATACAGAATTTAGAAAAAAAAACATACTAATTCAAGTCCAATAACACCAGCGCCGATTAAAACCATTTTTTTAGGTACTTCTTTAAGTGAAAGTGCGCCCGTAGACGA